CCAACTCCTCTTGCAAAGCCTAATTGCATAGCAAGATTTTCATGCACCCTTTTTTTCATAATTTGATCAAATTACAGCTTGACTGTAAATGAAAAGCTAAACAACTTAAGTCATTGTTAACTTGACTTTTCTTCACACATCATGTCTCACGTTAGATCTCAAGCATGCCACAACAAAGTGACCGTTGTAATTTGTGTAAATATGTAAACCATGTTCACAAAGTAAATATCAAACTTCTGATTATTAGTTCATAGTTTTAAAAAAATGTTACAGCTATTATTTATGAGTTATATGATGACGTTTGAAGGGTAAAACAATAAAATCTATAAACTACCATTCAAAGGTTTATGCTCTTATGCCCACAAAGAATGAATTCAAATAAAAAAATACAGTAAAAACAGAATTATTGAGAACTATTATTGCAATTTAAAATATCGGTTTTCTATTTAAATATATTAAAAAATTCAATTTATTCCTGTGAATGCAAAATTCAATTTTCAGTTTTCAGTGCCACATGATCATTCAGAAATTATTCTAATATGCTGATTTGATGCTCAAGAAACATTTCTTATTATTATCAGTGTTGAAAACAGTTGTGCTACTTAATATTTCCTTTTCATTCTTCTTTTATTAAAAGAAATAGAGTATTTCTAACAACATAAATGTCCTTTTTATCTGAATGTCTCACTTTTTAATTAATTTAATGCATCCTTGCTGAAAAAAGTCTTCTTAAAATATCTTGACCCCAAACTTTTGAATGGTAGAGTAAATAAAGGACATTTGAAAAGTAGAAATAAACGAAGAAGAAGATACTGTACAAAGCGACTCGCTGACTTCAGAGAGAACATAAGCAATGTCTCACCAAACATTAATAGCAGCATTTAAAAATCCATGCACAAAGGAAACTGAACCCACAGCCTGATTAAGCAGCCACAGTTCCTTCATAAGAGTCACAAGATATAAATCTGCTTTTGCTCTGACACATTCTCTTTCACACCAAGGACGCTTCCTCTATTCTTTTCATTCAGTATCTCTTTTCCTCTGAGAAGATAAAAACATTTCACAACACTACTACATTGCAAATTATAATATATGTAATCAGAGTCACAAATAATGCTTTACAAAGTTCAATCAATATAGTTCTTTTTTTTCTACCATTAATTTCTGACCCACAAACACATGTAGTGCGCAAGACCACACAGCTTCCAATACATAAACACATGACAGCCTATGGGTCACTCTGACCCTTGCCATGTGATAGAAGGCAAAACAGAGCCACTGAACTGAAGTGAGACTCAAAATTAGCCACTCAGATTGTTTCTTTTGTGAGCTGACCTGACACAAAGTGGACACACCTAATGACAACACATAAAGAGACAGAGATGACTTTGCTTCTTGTTTCTATTTACGTCTCAGTATAAATACCTGCTTACGAACATACCAATTCTCCACTTCAAGCAAAGCTTTATTGTCCATTTATTGCAAAATAAATATAATATAACCTTGTACTTCATATAGAGGTGCGGTTAAACACAGTTGATCTGCTCACCGTGTTCCCTGTTCACACTAGATCAGATTTCCTAAAGTTTACCCACCTTCACTTTCAGCATTGCACACCTACACCATGTGCTCCAGCATGTGTCAGTGTATGTGCTCTGGTGACTTATCTGCTGTATGTTTAATCCTTAACCTGTGTTTAACCATCAACCTCCAATTAGAGGTAGTTTAAAAAAAAATAAAAAAGACACAAAAACACAACTTACATACAGAGAGCTCACCTGAGTGTTGTCTTCACCAAACACATATAGAAACAGCTGAAAGAACTCACCCTTCTGTCCGGTTGAACTCTCCTCTAAATACACTTCTATATGCCTGCAAACATGAAAAAAGAAAAGAAATGCAGCAAAAGGCTTTGTCTGAGCTCACATGTACTTTGGCCGATGTGGTGTATGTGCATGTTCACCCGTTGTCAGCATTTGTGGTGTGGTAAGCATGAGTAAAGAAACAGTACCAAGGGAACGCACCTCCCTATTTCAAAGAAAAAGCCCTGAGTCACACAATGGACATATGATGTTGTAATGTCTGGATTTTTTATTTTTTTTGTGTGTGTATTGGAAAGGTCAGACCTGATATAGAACAGATTGTATCATTAAAATACACACAATTATCATAGTAATCCATTGATTTCTAAATAACTAACGAAACTATGTGAGCTCTCACGTACGTTTTTTTTCCAGACTGTAACTGGGACATAATGGTTAAATATTACCAGCATGTGCATTCTAGATTGCTGCTGTATCCAGACTTGTGAGATAATGCCTGTCAATCACAAACTGGAAAACAACTCTGAAGGAGTGTGACAGCTGAAGTTTCACCAAACATAAATTTATGTTTATTTGTCAGAAAAATGTGGGGTACTTCCAGTTAGTGCTATTTAACATGTCTGCAATTTAATGCCAAACGTTGCATCCATGAGGCATCTTCAAAATCCTTTTTAATAATGTCTAGAAAAAGATTACATAAAAGGTTTGTTTAATGAATGCAAAAGTCACATTCAGCAGTAAGGCTATTTAAGGTAGTACATCATAGTAAATGTGAGGTCAGACTGAGGGGCCAAATGTGCATGTGCATCTGCTGCCCCCTTCTGGACAATCAGTCATAGAAAAATAAACCAGCGTAAAGAGACAGGTTCATCCAAAATAATAATAATAATAATAATAATAATAATAATATATTCTGTCATTATTTACTCACTCTCATGTCATTCCAAACCTGTATGACTTACTTTCTTTTGCAGAATACCAAAGGAGACATTTTGAAGACCGCTGGTAACCAAATCATTTTAGTGACCATTTTTGGACCAAAAAAAAAGGAGAGCTCTAAAAAAAATGTATGTTCCACAGAAGAAAGAAAGTGGCGAGTAAATCGATTTAATGGCGAGTAAATCGAAATATTTATTTTTGTCTGAACTATCGTGTGTAAACTCAATTTTCAGCATAACTAAATATTCAAAGCAATGACGTCAAAAACTAATTGACCATGGGTATTTCAATTTATGAGCAAAATAAGGTCTGTGGTAAATAAAAATTAACGAAACGATGTTTTGAGCTATAATGTAAATTACACAAACCCATACTGAAAATGCAAAATTTGAATCAGTTATGTTAATTTTTCTAAAAATGTACATTATGTTTGTAATATCAGGGTTTCTGTAAGTTTATGAAGGTACATTTAAGACTTTCAAAGACAATTTAAGGAATACATTAAAGGGGAACACAGCACATTAATATGTTCTCTAAATGTAAATGTCTAAGGAGAACACAATGAGTCACACTAGCAGTGATCGCCATTAGTTTTATTTAATTTGACAAAATAAACTGCTTAACTAGAATATGGAAATAACTTTTACTGTACCTTCTGATCACACTGCACAAAAAAGTGATGTTCCTTCTCAGTACTTTTGTCTTGTTTTGATAAGATGTCTTGTTTTCTGGGAAATTCATCAAAATTAAAGGTGACATATCATGACAATCTGACTTTTCCAGGTTTTAAGTGCTATAATCAGGTCCCCGGTGCATCTACCAACCAGGGAAATGTGAAAAAGATTAACCCAGTAACTTTGTTTTGGTAACTTAAGCCTTTTTCTGCAAGCGTCTGAAAAAACAAGCGAGTCTGATTTCGCTCCCTTGGTGACGTGGCAAAGGGATCTCATTATAATATCACCACCCTTCATCTGCAAGTTTCCACCCACGGTGCCATCATTTTGATTTCGCAAGCGGCAACAGTGTACCAGCTCTAATGCCATTGCAAAAGTTTGAGCAAAACATGCTAACTGTTCTGTCATTGGCTGCACAGACGAGCACAGAACACTATTTAGAGTCCCAGCCTCAGAGGAGACAAGAGAGCAGTGGATTTATTGATTTATTTACTGTATATTGCTGCTGCCACACAGATCTAAAATAAACATGCAATTTATTTCCCAGCTGTTTACCTTCACAGACATAACCGACTGTTTTTGGAACTTGTGTGTTTTTAACGTAAACTTGTGTGTGAATGAGAACTTAGTTTAGTGCTCACATGCTGTGACAGCCGTTTTCTGTCCGTGTGCGCTCAGAAAACCGTATATCAGAAATTTAAACTAATATGGTTTCAAACGCATGATTTCAGCACGATAAACATGATAATCAGAACCAAAACTGATTTTTTTTAGCAGGTACAAGCTGTAATGGCGCAGCTGTATTCTGGAAAAGGGGGCGGGGAGCAGCAGCTAATTTGCATTTAAAGAGACAGGCCTGAAAAACAGTGTGTTTCTGCTTCCACTCAAAATAGGCATTTTCAAAATGATATAATAAATGATCTGTGGAGTATTTTAAGCTGAAATTTCACAGACACATTCTGGCGACACCAGAGACTTACATATTGTAAAAAGGGGCATAATATGTCTCCTATAAGTGAATTGATAATCACTAAAAAAAGACAAATATCTGCCAGTGGGCTCAGAGAAATCAACTTAATTCAAAGGGAAAACCAGTTTTCATACCCCATTTACAGATGTTTGTTCTTGCTTTAATAAACTCACTTTCTCAACACCAAAAAAAACCTTCATATCTTAATTTGCATCTAAGGATTTAAGGATGTTTAGATGTTTGAATTGGAAAATAAGACAAAAATACTGTCAAAGATGTTAATTTTTCAGTGCATGCAACATTTAATGCCATGGCCCCATTTAAAAACATTTAAGGGCTAAATTTGTGGAACCCAGAGAAACCCTGAATAATTAACTACATCAGAACGTTTGAAGTGCAAGTATGTGTAATTTACATTGTAGAGTAAAACGCCCAAGTGATGTTTACCACAGACCTTATTTTACTCATGAATTGAAAAACCCCATTTTAAAAATCCATAGTAAAATCTTAAGCGAAGGCAAATTAGTCTTCTGGGTTTTGCCGTCAAAGCTGCAGCACTCTATTGCACTTTTTTTTTTTCATTAAAACTCACAATATATATATAAAACATATATGCCACAGTTTCAATTTATTATATAAAGGAATTAATCAGTGTTTATTAATTGAAAAACTTCATCATTAAAAATATATTGAACTGAAGCCTGAAACTGTAATATGCATACAAATTCTAAAAACAGGTTTCTCACAGTCAAAAATGTTTTAAAAAGTAAAGAAAAAAAACATAAACAAAAAATAAAGCCAGTTTATATACATCCATTCAAGAGGGTCACGGTCCATATTTTTGCTGCACAACTCAGACATAAGTGTCAAGATCAAGAGGTGTTTTCAGAGGACCTCTAAGTTGTTCTCTGCGTTCAGCTTCATAGCGGTCACACTCCTTAAAATAAAGACTGACATCCTGGATTGTTTGTCCCGTTAAAAAGGTCCCAACAGCATACAGAATTGCTGTTATGATTCCAAACAGTGCGACAGCTGCATCCCCCCCACCTACGCTACAGTTCATCCAGGTATATCCGTTACGAGCATACAGTCGTTCACGCCGGACGCACACATCAGTTGAGTTCACTGAGATCACGAAGTGCAGGTACAAACCTACCGCAACCACGTAACCCACTGCACCAATGATCTGGAATGCAAGCTGTCCAATCAGGAGCTTCCTTGGAAGCATGTGGGAGGGTTTGCTGCTGGACACTACAAATAGTAGTGAAAGTGCACCAAAAGTGAGGCAGAAGGCCACACCTCCATAGACTCCTGGTGCTCTCATCTGTCCATACTGCATGTCAAGCTCACGCACCTGCTGCAGCTCCACCCCCTCAAAAGGAATCATGGCGTCAATGAAGCTCGTTCCGCCCATACCCATCGCAGACATGCCCATCTGCGACATGTGAGCAGCCACCACGCATATCAGAACCAACGCATTGGTCAGGACGGCACATATTAACACAATACCTGAAATAAACACAGAAACACATGCAACTACATAAGAAACTGCAAACATGTTTAGAGCAGGAGTTTTCTTAACTTTTTAATGCCTAAATCTCCCATTATATGATGATCATCTTGTGAGGGACCCCCATCGTAAAATTTTCAAAGTTTTCAAATAAACATTTAAAATGGTTGTGGGAGATAAATGTTTTCATAATAAATATTTCTCAAAAACAGAAAATCATTCCACCATTATTAAGCAAGTTAAAGGTGAATTTAATTATGAAAAAAGATGCAACATAAGTAAAACTACTCTATCACATAAAAGTTGCAAGGAATGAGAATTTTTTTGTTCTTGTTGCAAAATTATATTTATATTTTACTCAAACAAAAAAAAATCTCAATTTTATTTCACAAAATTTCAGGATGACAATATTATTTATTCTTTTTTTATTTATTTTTTTTAAGTAAAAGATATATATTTTTTAATTGTAGTTCATACAGAATCTTAAACCTTATAGAATCACCAAAATTAATCTTAATGAATCAATTTAATATACAAACACTCCAGATTCTGTTAATAAAACAGTTTGCAAACAGAAATAAGGGGGCCTTCGAATATTGTGTTGGAAAATGGGTGGACTTTAAGTCAAAACACCCCCTTAAGGCTGATTTATACTTCTGCGTCGGACCTACGCCGTAGCTTACGCACAGACGCACACCCATACGCCGTAGCCTGACGTGCACCTCTCCAAAAATCTAACAGTGCGTCAATTCTACGCAGACCGCAAGCGCTGTGATTGGTCTGCAAGAACCCCTCCCTCCATATGTACGTGAGTTTTGTGTGTGTTTATGTGCACTTTAATATATTTTAATGTTACACCTTCTTATATAAAATAAAACAAAGCAAAGAACAAGTGTCTTATCATTTATGATACTACATAGCATTATACATCAGTAGTTGTCCGCAACAAACAATGTTGATCTGCCGTGGTACAAGTCCCTGCTTCTCTGACTTCTTCGGCTTTTGCCGTGGTACTGCGGGTTACACCAGCAACATGCCCGTGGACACTGCTGACTAGCGGTTTGCATCTGTACTGCACGTTGATGCGGACAATGACGCAGAAGTATAAATGAAAACTGACGCATAGCGTAGGTCCGACGCAGAAGTATAAATCAGCCTTTACTCCTCCGAGGGTCCATGGACCCTAGTTTAAAAGACAATCAATATGTCTGTAAGTGCCCTTAAATTACAATTTTATTGTGTACAACTGAGCGTTTTTTTATGTGTGTAAGAAACAAACTGTCATGTATGTGCATCATTTTATGAAATAACTTTTTTATATACAAGCGTGCAAATACAGGTCACCTGCTAACATAAGAGAGGGGGACATTTTATTTATTTTTTTTTTTTAAATATATACATATTTTTTAATTGACTTAAAAATATAATTTGATAACATATACAGTAATACACATAAACTGTAGATGCTATGCCTGGTCCATGTGTTGCAAGAATGAGAAATTTTTTTTACATATCTCTCATGGTTTGTAAATGAAAGATTGGTATCAACAAGCTTAAAAAAGCTAAACCGGTTAGACCAGGAGAAAGGAGGAAGGAGGGTAAACATACTTTGTGTCATGTCAGAAGGTGTGACTTGAGCTAGACTGAAACCAAACCTGTGAGAGGGCATGTTTGAAAAAACGTGATCCCAGTAATGACACCCAAATTCAGAGAACTACCTGAAAGTGTTTTCAGACATTTTGACCTAGTTGTTTGGATACATAATTCCAACATACCCTCTACAACGTTTCTTTTTCAGTCCAACATTCACCTCCCATCCACATGTCTGTCTGTGAATGCCTACCTCTCCTGGAACAGATGTAAGAGCACTTTGACTCCCGGTGCTCCTCTCGAGGATCGCTCCTCACATGTCTCTGAGAACCTCTGGGGTAGTACGGGGGCTGGCCAGACGAACTATGTCAGATACAATTATAAAAGATTTCAAATAACAATATTACAATCATTTGTAATGACACACAATATGCAAAGCATAGCCTTCAAAGCAAAGATTTCCTCTTTATTTAATGTGTATGAACATGTAGTATGTCGTCTCACCTCTCACTGGCTGATCGTCGGTCACTGGGACTGTCCCGTCGGCTGCGGGGCTCTCTGTCTCGCCTCTCACTATAGTGTCCCCCGTTCCTCTCTCTCTGCGGACGATGGTTTCTGGACGGTTGGCTCATAGCTTCATGAGGGAAAGAAGCTTTGGTGTTATGTGCTTATATACCAGAGGTTTTGAAATTTTACAGGGACCCTAGAGGTAACCCAGAGACCCCAATATAAAAAGGATGTAATACTTTTTATTAACAAGCATACGTTTTTATGTATAGATTAATTATATACGTTTTTATAGCCTATAAGTTTGATTTCTCTGTAACATCTGGGACTCGTAACATCTAGGGGTCGGTGGACTCACCAAAAGTATCTCGATTTTATTGTTTATCATTAACAATACAGTAAACATCATTCAGTAAGGTAGACTGTAAATGCAAACCTGCCAATAATATCATAACCACACCCGTTCTTCTAACTAAAGGCTTCTCTCTGCCTTCCTTTGACACAAAGCAACCTGCTCCTCAGTATCGCTAAATGCGTTTCACTTGTCTCCTGTTTCAGTTGACTTCAGCAAGAACATTTACGGTAACTTTCGTTAGTTTTTTCTTAACACATATATCAAATAATGTTTATAAACACACTGAACACACACAACTTACCTGCTTAAAGGGCGTCGATCACATTTGTTTTGGTTTTCCAAATCAAAACTTCACTTTCTCCGCCGACACGAGATTCTGACCAAACCCCGTCAGTGAAATCTCGCGATGATTAGGCTACCTATAGAATGGGCGGGGCTGGAGACAGGTGAGAAGTAGGTGACAGACGCGTTATTCGTTACTTGTACTGTCACTTATTCGCTGTACTAAACGATCCAATCCGTGATAACGGCAGCAAGGGTCACGGCAAATTGCCGTCTGAGATCACAGATTTGTGTCCGCAACAGAAGTGGCTCTGTTTTGCTCTAAACCTACGTCATTGAGGAGAGCATGGTGTTTGATTCATTCCAGCGACTCGCTTCTTTTGAATCAGTTCGCTAGAAAGATTCATTCACTGATTTGTTCAGTGAATCTCTGCAAGATTACTTCTTTACGCCAGTACATGGCGAAACGTGTATTTTTCCTCATGAGTTTAACCATAATAAACGTTCACCCACAAATTTCGACAAGATAGAATAGGCCTACAAATCACGAACAGCGTCCCCTTACCCTCCTTGTGAAGGGTGTCAATGATTGTCTTCTGGACAACTGTCAGATCAGCAGTCTTCCCCATGATTGTGTAGCCTAGTGAACCAAACTGGGAGATTAGATATTCTAATTTGTTGAGATAGTGAATTGGTGGGTTTTTGTTAAATGTGAGCCAAAATCATCACAATTAAAAGAACCAAAGACTTCAGTCTGACTACTTCAGACTGTGTGCATTAAATTTATTTAATACACGAGTTTCACAATTTGAGTTGAATTACTGAAATAAATAAACTTTTCCACGACATTCTAATTTATTGAGATGCACCTGTACTTGTACATGGAGGAGACGTTTAATCCAGCTCCTTCAAGAGGGCTCACTTTATGCTATTTGCTTGTGTGAACCTCAGTGAACAAAAGATGATCCATTCATTTACTTAAAAGATTCGTTCAAAATGCCGAATCGCTTGAAATGGGCTGTCGCCCGAGGCTCCTACCTCCTGGAATGTGGTAATAAGAGAAAATTTGGTGATTTATATGCGGATTATGCAACTATGTGTCAATGTCAACAGCTAAATATCCCGCAGCACAAAATCAACTCTAGTTCACTGAATAAGTCATTGTCAGACGAAGACACTGTAACGTCTTTATTCCTATTATAATAGCTTGTAAATATCTCAGATGTCTCTTTTCACTATCTTTGTCAAATACAGTATAAAAGAATAAATTAATACTGTGGGAGTTTTGCATTAGAAAAAAGATACACTACTGCATGTGACATTTTTACATTTTTACTTCCATTGTCCTTTTTGTTCAAGCAAGCTGTGCACTTTAAGGAGATAAATAGCTTGTAGTTATTGAGCTCAGGAAGAGAAGACACTTTTATCAAATTCATCTTATGTTCAGCAGTTACACTGGATGCAGTTCTCTGAGGTTGTATAACTGATAATCACATGGCTCCAATTAACCTAATTAACATAATTGATTTGTAGGCGTGTGTTCACCTGGTTTCCAAAGACAGACATTTGGTTGTCAGTCATGTTTGTGTCTTTGATTATCAGTGTTGAACTGCTGATGATTTGATATTGTATTTTATAGCAGCTCACATGTTGATACGGGTGTAGTGGAAATGGATACTGGATTAGAGGATCTTGAGCTGAGAGAGTCTCAGAGGGAGTACCTGGACTTTCTGGATGATGATGTGATATCTTTTATTCTTTGTCTTTCTGTTTTTGACTTGATGTGGGTCATATGATTTGTGTTAACACCTTTGCAATCTCCGTCACATTCAGTGTCATTTATCTTTTTTGTCATTTACAGCAAGACCAGGGCATTTATCATGAAAAGGTTAGGAGTATGGTGTCTGAGGGCCAGTGTCGTCTTATTGTAAACATTAATGACCTGAGAAGAAAAAGTGAAAAAAGAGCTAAAGAGTGAGTATTTTATTTATTTATATTTTTGTCCATGAGTTTGTCCTTGAAGCTCATCTGGTTAATGGTCTCTTGTCAATAGATTACTGAATAATGCTTTTGCTGAGCTGGTTGCGTTCCAAAAAGCCCTAAAATATTTTGTGGCTTCAATAGACGCCACTTACGCTAAGCAGCTTGAAGAGTTCCATGTTGGTTTTGAGGGCAGCTTTGGGAACAAACATGTCTCTCCACGTACTCTAAGTGCACGCTTTCTGGGAAGGCTTGTGTGTGTGGAAGGCATTGTGACCAAATGTGAGTAGGATTTACTTCATTTTACAAATTATCAATGCTCATTATAACAGTTTAATGCTTGTAATTTCATGTAGTTAACAATACTACAATTTTGTTCAGAACTACAGGCCCTGATTTTTAGATTAATGTGTTTAGGTCAGAGCTGTTGATACGCACATAATGTGATGTTTACGCCACCTTAATTATCATTATGCATTATGCTGGGTTGTCATTTCTAACTTGTAATTTTGATGTGATTTGTAGGTTCCTTGGTCAGGCCCAAAATTATGCGTAGTGTCCACTATTGTCCAGCCACCAAGAAAACCCTGGAACGAAAATACACTGATCTTACCTCACTGGATGCTTTTCCTTCCAGTGCCATCTATCCAACTAAAGTGAGTAATATTTTGTATGGGCCATATATTTAATAATGTTATTAATTTTTTTCTTCAACTGTATTTATAAAATGTAACGTATGTAAAATGTTATTTACCAATTTAATTACATTGTATTTTAGTTACATAACTATTTATGTGACTGTTTGTTTATTTAATGCAGTTTTGTATTTAATTTATGAAACTTAATTTTATTAGTCGAACAAATTAATTTGCTTAATTTATCAAGTAAATATGTAATTAAATTAAATGTTAAATAAAAAAATATTTATTTGTGTGTGTGAAGAAAGATGTTCCTAGATCATCCTCTTTTTCTGGTCCTGTAACATTCCTATCACAGAAACATGAATGTTGATCCGGGAGAATGTTCTTTGGAAAAATCCCAATACCATGTTAACCACTGATTTAATATTAAGAATGTTAAGAAATATAAAATCCATTTTGCATGTGTAGGATGAAGAAAACAATCCTCTGGAGACCGAGTTTGGGCTGTGCTGTTATAAGGACCACCAGACACTGACCATTCAGGAGATGCCAGAGAAAGCCCCTGCTGGACAGCTGCCACGTTCTGTTGACATCATTGCGAACGATGACCTTGTCGACCGGGTGAAACCAGGTGACCGTGTGCAGATTGTAGGGGTCTACCGTTGCTTGCCTGCGAAACAGGGCGGTTTCACCTCTGGGACCTTCAGGTGTGTATATTTGTACTCTTTCCCAAGATCAGGACCGGGATTTCATGTCCTCAGGTGAACTTTGTGATTCTCTGCAGAACAATCCTGTTGGCTAACAATGTGAAGCTTATGAGTAAGGAGATTGTGCCGACGTTTTCTGCAGATGATGTTGCCAAGATAAAGAAGTTTTGCAAAGCTCATTCTAAAGTAAGAAGAGGCGCAAACAATGTTAACTGAAATATTCTAAACTTGGCTGCAATTATTATTATTTTTTTTTTAATATATATAAATGATAAGCTGGTGCCAATGGTTTCTACTAAGTATTAAGGCTTATGATGCTTTTGGGAAATGCAGCTCTGATCTGTTTCATCTTTGCTACTGTATGCAAGGTAAGTGTATTGGTATGTTTCAGGATGTCTTTGAGCAACTGAGCCATTCTTTGGCTCCCAGTATCCATGGCCATGAGTACATAAAGAAGGCAATTCTGTGTCTGCTGTTGGGAGGCAATGAGACCAACCTGGAGAATGGAACACGCATCAGAGGAGACATAAATATTCTGCTCATAGGTAAGGTGTAAACACGTCATGTTTATAACTGTTATATTTTTACAAAACAATATAATTTCTGTAAAGTCTGGACTTGTTAATCTTAATTTCAGTGTTTTTGTGGTGCCATTTATGCATTAATTCATAGAAATTTTGTCATATGGACATATCATGGAGCTTTTTCTTTTACTTTTTGAGCAAATGGGAATGCCAAAAAAAAAAAAAATCCACTTTTATTTGATGTAGTCTCCGGTTCAGCATTATAGAAGTTTTCTTCTATAATGTCTTCCACTTGTGAGAAACCTGGAAATGTAAAAAGGGTCCATTTAAGTTAGGTATACATTAATGATAGATTATAAAAAGTGTGTGTATATGTAATTTTAAATTTGTTTAAATTTTTTAAATCTATGTGATCTATTTATATAAATAAAATTAATTTCTTAAATTTAGTGTAGTTGTATAAAGTTATTCATGTTTATAGATAACCATTTAATTTTTATATAGATATTTTCATATAAAATAAATATCCACATTTACCTCTCTATTTTTTTATTTATATATATATATATATATATATATATTATATAAAAATTCATGTAAATTATTTAACTTGTATACATTTAATTTATTCACATAGATTTAATCTTAATTTAAGTAATTTCTGGGCCCATTGTGCAGTGTTTTTCATTTGATTTCAGGTGATCCTTCAGTAGCGAAGTCTCAGTTGCTTCGGTATGTTTTGTTCACGGCACCAAGAGCAATTCCCACCACTGGACGAGGCTCATCTGGGGTTGGTCTGACAGCTGCGGTCACGACTGATCAGGAGACGGGTAACACTTAACATTTGATGACAAATTTAATTTAATTCAAGTATCTATGCTGGAAATGCCCATGAGCAGTTATTTTCTATTCATGCTACAAAATTGAATCAACCCAAATCTCTAAATATTTTCCAGAATAGTTTGTCCAAAAAAAAAATCTGACAACAATGTTAAATTAAATTTAGCATGGTGAGATGAAGCTGAAAACCGTAAACTGTTCATTTTATCCTTTGGCTAATCCAGGTGAGCGTCGCTTGGAAGCAGGAGCCATGGTGCTTGCTGACAGAGGTGTGGTGTGCATTGATGAATTTGATAAGATGTCTGACATCGACCGAACAGCCATCCATGAGGTGATGGAGCAGGGTAGGGTCACCATTTCCAAAGCTGGGATTCAGGCACGGCTTAATGCTCGCTGCAGTGTGTTAGCTGCTGCCAACCCAGTGTATGGAAGGGTAAATATTCACTATTGGCTTGATTAGCAAGATTTAGGGATAACTGGCTTGCTTTGGTTTTTATTAATCCTACTGTTTTCTTCACCCAGTATGACCAGTATAAGACCCCAATGGAGAACATTGGGCTCCAGGATTCCTTGCTTTCCCGATTTGATCTGCTCTTCATAGTTCTGGATCACATGGATCCGGACAGCGATCGGGAGATCTCGGAGCATGTGCTGCGGATGCATCGCTACAGAGCACCAGGAGAACCGGAGGGAGCAGGTGAGACTAACATCTGCTGGTAAAAGCACGAAATGCACTTGCATGTACTGTACAGTAGATCAATGGTTGATTAACTTTTGTTTAGGTGGTCGTTTTATTTTAACAGTGAAATTAAACTCGTGGAGTGTTAACTGGCTAAGAAGTTGGACCGAATACTTATGCTTCATACACTGATTGATAATGGTCAGCAGGGCCGTCCTTGGCTGACGCGGGGCCCGGTGCGAGGGGAGGGGGGAATTATCACCGTTTCCACATTTAATATTTAAGAAGCAATTTTTTTTTCTCATATGTTTTGTTTTAATTAAATCGGCCAAGCTGTGGACCACTTGGAATGCTTCAGACCAGCGTTTGAGACCCACTGGTGTAGACCATTTCTATGTTATTCAGTTTTCGGCTTCAGAAGCTTTAGTCAGCTGTTGCTCTCATTCTGTCATGTCTGTATCAACAGCAATGCCACTGGGGAGTACAGTGGATGTGTTTGCCACTGAGGACCCGAACATCACCGAAGCAGCCGAGCAGGAGCTACAGATATATGAGAAAAAAGACAATGTCTTGCATGGCCACAGGAAGAAAAAGTATGCATTTCTTCCCTTTGATTTAAAAATCTACTTTGTTTCCTTTTATAGGAGTTGTGTAGAAGCCAGCCTACCATAATTCATTGGGTTTCTGTGATTACCACGTTAACAAAGGCCAGGACGAGGAGTTTGACCAGAATGAGATTAACCTTCTGCTGGAGCGCATGCAGGATGACAACCAGGTCATGGTTTCAGAGAATGTGGTGTTTCTCATCTAAAGGAGTGCCAATGGACGGCTGCATCTTTTGCAAATTCAGAAATGTAAATTGCATTACAATTATTTATAATATGCCAGCACTTTGTTGCAGGCTATAACAAACCACTAATAAACTGTGTAAGCATGAATGGTTGAGTACTTATTTTGATCAAGTGCTTTTATTTTTTTACATTTATTCATTCCTTACAAATGGAATACAAGAAGCAATTTATCTTAAGGAGGCAAAGAATACGAGAAGTGTTAGTAATAAAGTTTCTTGAGAATAGTACAGTAGGTTTGTCAAGTTTTTTTCTTTTTTTTTAATTTGTAAAGGCAAGTTATCATTCAGTAGATCCAGCTCAGTAATGAAGACGCAATCTGGCAAATTCCATAAAGATTTTTTTTTTCCTCCATTGAGGCTTCATGATGTATCCTGCATGATGTCATGGGGATATTTTTGTCCACTGTCCTTTTTAAATGGACATTTGGGGTTCTGTAAGAGAAAGTTCAGTTTAATGGGAGTTACTGTACATGCATTTATATTTAATAATGGAACAGCAAGACCCAGGAACATGGCAGGTGCCACAAAGACACTTTTAGCCACTGTTGCTGTAGTAGAGCTTCCAATGGCGTCATCGATCTCTAATCGCAGGTCTCCAAGACTCTGGTCTGAGTCTCCACGAGTCCAGTCACATCTATTGAAGAAGTTAAAACTCTTGTCATATTTCATAAGAATTTTACTGGTATGGAATAAAAACTTCCTGCTCACGAACCTTCCAGGGAGAGGAGGAAGATGACATTGTCTCCTTTGAAGCTTCGACTCTTCAGACGATCATGTGTGATGTAACTGCTGGAACCGGAACCCGGCCCCCGGTAGTATGAACTGCCATCTGTGTCAGTGACTACACTTCCTACTTTTCGTGGGTCGTCCCAGAAATACTCAACATTACCCATCGCTGCGCAAAGAGAAAATATACTATTTATTAAACACATTTTATCTCAAAATAATCTGTAACCAAGTATCTAGTAAAAATGCCTCCCCTACTCTTTGTTTGTGTCTTACAGTCAGTGGAGGTCTTGGCTGGATATGTAGTGATCATCCTAATGTTGTTCATGCGGTGTTGGATGTCTGGATTCTTCTGAATGAGTCTCAGGGCTCCTTTGGGGTTTTCAGCAGTGTATTCACGCACCCAGATGTTTAGCTGATCATCAGCGCCACCACTGTTGTAGTGATATAACTAACTGCAGGCATTGGGAGCATCTTTTGGGGTAAAAGAGGCGAATTTCCAGGTAAGCTGTGTCACCTTGGGTACCTGTGGCTGTGCTGAAATGCATGAAGAACCCAACCCCTGTAGAAGTATAAACTTTTATTAGATAATAGGCCATTAAGCCAGTCTTCTCGCTTTCTCTTTGGACCTTATAATGGGAGTTTAAATACCATTTTGCATGTCATATAGCAATCCTTGACAAGAAATGTCTGAGAAGGTCAAAGAAATTTCCTTATAGTATCAGTAAAATGTGTTTATCATGAAGATCAAAGTGCCACCATGATATCATAAGAGTTATCAATGCAGGATTATGGTCCATACATAATTCAACTTTTTACACAGTGGTGATATAACAATAGTCTTCCATGTGAGTGTCCCATTTAAGGGAGTCTTTGGCCTAACTTGGTTTGGTGCAGACTGCGATGATGCATGTTCACAATATTTAAAGGTATAGTTCACCCAAAAATTTAAATTTGATGTTTATCTGCTTACCCCCAGGGCATTCAAGATGTAGGTGACTTTGTTTCTTCAGTAGAACACAAACGAAGATTTTTAAGTGAAACCGTTGCAGTCTGTCAGTCATATAATGCAAGTGGATGGGAATCATGGCTTTGAGAGTCAAAAAAACATACACAAACAAAACCAAATTAAACTCTGCGGCTCGTGACGATACATTGATGTGTAAAGACACGAAACAATCGGTCTGTGCAAGAAACTGAACAGTATTTATATAGTTTTTTACCTCTGATTTTCACCGCAATGTCCGAACTGTCCTGAGCGCGTTCAACAGCCGTTGCCTGCCGCGTCTTCTTCTTGCTTTATGGCGGATCGCTGACTTATAAGTGCATTACCGCCACCTATCTCTCAAGTGGACCATTGACACTCCTAATAGAGATTGTAATAAATTATTTAATTCTTGCATGCAAAAAGACCTGTATGGTGACTATGGGGCTATGTAAAATATTTTTTTGCAACTTACTAGGTTTATCATTTGTAATTTTTTTTCCGATAGTGTCGATAATCGTCTGTTACCTGACTGTTGACATCGACATCGTGATACTTATGAGACATCGGTCGATATACAATAATATCTTCATATCGCCCAGACTAGAAATTTGGCATTTCTCTGTATATTTCTCTCTATATATTTTGTTTCCTCTTTTGTAAAGTAATGAAAACACTGTAGCAGTTTTTTTTCTTTTGCAGTTGACATACATTTTGCTAAAATATTTGCTATGTGAAAAAGTTCAGTATTTCACACACGACACTCCTGCTTGATGTGACTCAATCCCTGTGTCCGAATACTTCCCTACTATATAGTAGACGAAAAACAGTATGTGAAAAGAGTAGTGTGTCTGAATTCACAGTAAAAGTCTGATGAGCACTTTATTATCCCATGGGGCCACGGGAGAAGATCGGTGAATGGATTTGAAGTGACAGTGACGAAAGTGGATGTAGTATGTCCGAATTTCATTCGTACTACCCATATTCATACATTAAAAAAAATGTAAAACAGTTGCAAAGTAAGTTTCCAGTCAAATATTTTACCTACTAGACAGTACATGATTCTGGATGCTTCACAGCCAAGTATATTTGCAGATATGTGGATTTTGGGCTGAAAAAAATGAAGGAAAGAAGGCTACCTATTTGTTTTAAGAGAATTAGCTAAATTTAGAAGTTTTATTTTGGCGTGATTTTTAGTTCCCAGCATGCTTTGCATATGGCTGGATATGGAGAATAAATACTGAAATTAAAAAGTGTTTTTTTTTTAGTAAAGGGAAACATCTATTAATGTTTAATGTTCAGTTATGTTTTACATTTGAAAGAGTTTCTGTTACATTGAGATTTATATTGTTACCATTGTGCAGAAGAGAAGAGCTTATGGTTATGCATAACTGCATGTACTACTTCTTTGAGGCATGATGCTTTGTTCAATCAGCAATAGCTTTGCTAATGCAGAAAAGTATTTTCCTACTTGAGCTGTCTTGCAGTATACAGTCTTTTTATTGTACAAAATAAATCAAAGTCATATACAAACAGACAATGATGCATAAATGGAAATCACGATTGTGAAGTTCTCTTATTTCACTTGAAGTTTTATTTGTAGCAATAATGTGGCTCAAAAATGGCGATTTTCAGGTTAAAATAATGCAAAACTAGGTTGAATCCTGCTTTTGTGGTTAGGGGTGTTCATACCTTGACATTGACCTAGATTGGTTTAGTCTGTCTGTGGGCCGCCCTCTACCGTTTGTACATGAGCCCACTTGGCATTTCCCCCATCACCCTGGATCATGCCACAGATATTTGGCTCCTCAAAGTGGCAAGAGTCCAGAAAAGTTGAGGCTGTAGCTGAAAGAATAATGAAAAATGTTTAGGACATGGTGAGTGAGAGAAACCAAGTATTAGTTGAGCAAGCAGTCTTTATCTTATCAGTAGACTAATGACAATATATTTATAAAAAAGAATGGAGGATTATTCCATCAAGTTCAACCAGGCTTCCACAGAATCTTACTACAATTGTATAGCTGGTTCAGCTTGAGCAGGTCACTGTCACTAAACTCCATGCGTTGACCAATCACATCCAAGAATTCTGGTATCTTGGTAACGATGGTTGGCTCACTGCCTTTGTTGAAGGCTGTCTTACTGTAGTGCATGACTGAACCGTAATAGGGCACACCGAGAGAACTTGACACCGTTTCATCATATAAATTGAAGTTGTGTTCTTTACCTAAGTGAGAAACAAACCGCAAAACAGTTTATGAACAAATGGGTTTGTATTAAATATTAATATATAGATTTTAGGAGTTTGGCAAGACAGAATGACGTTATTATTGATGCGTGTATTTAAGAATGCAATAGTTACCGTCTTCAATCCGGTCCCACACAATGATGACGTAGTCATCTCTATCAGACCTGGACTGCTCGTGCCAGAAACCCAGCGCACGCAGGCAGAAACTCATGCTCCACTGTTCCTAAATGGTCACAGTTTGCACCAATTGACAACTCTTGTTTCCCCAATTGTCGATTCCCCACCTTTGAGTAAAATCTGATGGAACAGAAAGACATTTCACCTTTAGCAGAAATAAACACCCTCGGATACAGTCAATGCAATAAAAGTCCCAATGTTTGCACATGCCTGAAAAGGTCTAACATGCTATTATTAAACTAAAACATAATTTAATAAATTAAAATGATTAAAAATTATTTGGTAAGTTTTGTTTGAAAATAAAAACGTGCCAGCACAGTATGTTACACCCATTAACATAAATGTTGTTGTTTTCTTAGCCGCTGCCTTTAAATACGAAAATGTAGTTTGGCTCTCCACCCGAGTTTGAAGTCATTACAGGTCTTGAGTCTGTATTGCTCAAATGCTTTCAATATCACACCTTTGGCATTGATTTCTATTTAAAGAGAGAGAGAGAGAGAAGTACAGTGAGTGAGCAATTTGGAGCATATATTAAGTTAGAATTTGAATATCAGATACAGGTCAAGGCATAAATTCAACTGAATTGAATCAATTATTATATATTCAGAGAGCAAGGCTGCTGTCTAGGACGTACGGCACAGTTGTTGGCCAGCGATACTTTTCCCCCAGAATAGTGTTTCTGCCTTCTCCCTGTTAAATATAAACCAAACATGGATTTAGCTCAATTTATACAACCCTGATACTTGATTTGCAAGCCTGTAAGTTGCATCTGTTACTATTTGATATTTTATTTTATAAATACATTTTGATATTTGTGATGTTTAGTGCTTGAAAATGTACTGTATTTAATTGTACTTAAACATTAGTTTGACCTCCTGAGGTTAATGTTGAATTTTCTGAAGGTTAGAAATGTCCTAAAAATATATTTTATTACTTTTCAGGCCTAGAGATCCAGGGCCTATTTTGTACCCTATTTGTGGAAAGTGGCATAAAAAATATGCTCAATGAAAAACTAACCTCCTGCATCAGAATGTCTCCTTCCACCAGCTGAAGTTCTGCCTCTGTTGAACAAGACAGTAGTTAATGCAAAAGTGTTATAGAAATTATGTTACAGATTTAAAGGTGACATACCATGACAATCTGACTTTTCCAGGTTTTAAGTGCTATAATCAGGTCCCCGGTGCATCTTTCCAACCAAGGAAATGTGAAAAAGATTAACCCAGTAACTTTGTTTTGGTAACTTGAGCCTTTTTCTGCAAGCGTCTGAAAAAACAAGCGAGTCTGATTTCGCTCCCTTGGTGACGTTGCAAAGGCTTGTCATTATAATATTACCTCCCCTTAATCTGTAAATTTCCACCCATGGCGCCATCATTTTGATTTTGCAAGCGACAACGGTGTACCAGTTCTAATGCCATTGCAAAAGTTTGAGCAAAACATGCTAACTGTTCTGTCTTTGAGTGCACAGACGAGAACAGAGCACTATTTAGAGTCCCAGCCTCAGAGGAGACAACAGAGCAGTGGATATATTGATTTATTTACTGTATATTGCTGCTGCCACACAGATCTAAAATAAACATGTGATTTATTTCCCAGCTGTTCACAGACATAACCAACTGTTTTTGTAACTCGTGTGTTTTTAACATAAACTTGTGTGTGAATGAGAACTTAGTTTAGTGCTCACATGCTGTGACAGCCGCTTTCTGTCCATGTGCTTCGGATGTGTGCGCTCAGAAAACCGTATATAAGTTTAAACTCATATAGTTTAAAACGCATGATTTCAGCACGATAAACATGATAATCAAAACCAAAACAGATGTTTTTTAGCAGGCAGGAGCTGTAATGGCTCAGCTCTATTCTGGAAAAGGGGGCGGGGAGCAGCAGCTCATTTGCATTTAAAGAGCCAGGCACGAAAAACAGCTTGTTTCTGCTTCCACTCAAAATAGGCATTTTCAAAATGATATAATAAATGATCTGTGGAGTATTTTGAGCTGAAACTTTACAGACATATTCTGGGGACACCAGAGACTTACATATTGTAAAAAGGGGCATATTATGTATCCTTTAAGACATTATATTAATGTTTCCACAAACCTTCATTTATATCAAATATATCCTGATCTTTTTCATTATCCACATCAATCGCTGTATTGCCTACAAAAAAAAAATTCAGAGCATATAAAATCATTAAAAACAGTTGTGATTTTGGAATACATCGTTATATTAATGAAATTATGTGATTGTTATGACTCACCTGTGAGTGAAGATGTTGGATTTGAAAGAAAATATTTGAGAGATAAGTGTCAAAGGTGCCCATTTACATCAACAACCTAGTGCAAGCTTTGATATTGTATTACCTGCTATCATGAAACAACCACAAACTATTTCATCGTAAAACTCATTCAGTCTTGAACAAGGTCATTGCTTTTTAATATAACAACAGCTGTGTTAGTTTTGCTCTAAAATATGATCATTTGCTTTTGTTTAGCACAATATTATCAACACATGAGCACAAAATTGTTGTTTCTATGACATCTGAATTCTACACTTACCAAACACAGGGCTGTGGCACATACACACAGAATCAGCAATGTATGAAGAGACGCCTTGAGACGACTTCACTCTGAGCTGTTCTCTTCAGAATATCAGTGCATTGTGTATTAACCGATTTATAGAACAAAAGAGCTTAGTCTGCAATGATAAGAGCCTGTACCTGATGGTATATGATTTATTACACTAAAGGTCAATGTGATATTATTAGACATTATAAAATTACTTATTTATGATGATTTGGCTAAGAGGTAGAAGCTAGTTTAAAGGAACAGTTCACCCAAAATGAAAATCTGCTAAAGATTTAATCCCCTCTCAAGCCATCCAAGATGAAAACGAGTTTGTTTCTTCATCAAAACAGATTTGGAGAAATTTCGCATTACATCACTTGCTCACCAATGGATCCTCTGCAGTGAATCGGAATGAGAGTCCAAACAGCTGATACAATTTAAACAATATTTGTTTAGAACTTTTTTGGACTGTTGTCGCTTGTAATCTGTAAACAGTGCTTGAAAGCAATGATATGGACCGAGTACATGTTTTTAACCAGAAGTGATGGTTTGAAGTTAAAAATGTCTTGATGGATTTTTTTTCTTACAAACACACAACTTTTCGTACAAAAGTTTAATTGATATACATCAGTTGTGTTGACTATTGTGTTTTTTTTTATCAGCTGTTTGGACTTTTGGACATTCTGACGGCACCCATTCACTGCAGAGGATCAATTGGATTCAGCACCCATTCACTGCAGAGGACCTGTTCTGATGAAGAAAAAACTCCTCTATTTTGGCCTGAGGGCGAGTAAATCTTCAGCAAATTTTCATTTTTTGGGTGACCTATTTCTTTAATTGCAAACATTCTGCAGTCTGTGATGGGAAATGATCTTTTTTCACAGTAGAATATTGTATTAAAACTTTTAATACACTTTTTTCTTTCAGCATAAATATTTTAACAGATCCTGGAGTCACTTGAATAATTCATTAATACATTTTCCCACAAAGTAAATCCCACAAACAATATCACAAAAATAAATGTATGTTACATAAATCTTGTATCTGAAAAAAAAGTGCAAGAAGAGCTCAAATGTGCAAAATGTTTTTTAGCAGATAAATCATTTGTTTAGTAATTTTAAAGCCACGATCAACCTGAGATGCATCAGATAGAATATGACAATACATTACCTCTTAAAATACCTCTTAATCACATAATCATTTTCTGTTGCTTTAAACGCATTTCAATCAAAAAAATTCCAACCACATATTATATTTCGCATAACACTGGTAAATTCTTAAATTTTCTTGTATCACATCTTCGATATACCATATCTTTTATTGATTTCTCAGTTGATTATGCCCTTGTGATTCAGAATCTTCTTCCCAAGTAGTTTTATATGATGTTGACTGTGTTGTCATGTTTCTGAAAATGAGGCCTAAATATTTTCCTTATATGATGCTAGAATTGCACACTGAATGTTCAGCTCATCAGTCTGGTTGAGATTCTGTGGATCAGAGAAATAAAGGATTACAGTTAAACATTGTGTGTGTGTGTGTGTGTGTGTGTGTGTACCTGTTTTTCTATTCTGGTGGGGACTTAAACCTGAATACACACAGACTCATGGGGACTCACGGTGTCATGGTGGGGACCACTTTGACCACCAATTGAGGTCCCCACGGGTAAACAAGCTAATAAATCACACAGAATGAAGTTTTTTTTTAAATCTAAAACTGCACAAAGTTTCCTGTAAGGGGTAGGTTTAGGTGTAGGGCTGGTGTAGGGCAATAGAATATACGGTCTGTACAGTAGAAAAACCATTACGCCTATGGAGAGTCCCCACAAGGATATGTATGTGTGTGTGTGTGTGTGTGTGTGTGTGTGTGTGAATATATATTTATTATTATTTATTCTAGTTCTTTGCTTAGTGTTCATGTACATGATTGACTTACAGTCATATCATCCAGGTAGTAGCAGTGGCGCAGGTTGAGGTGGCCAATGAAGTTGCGGCTGTAGTACTGTGAATCACCATGGGGCGTCTGCACACACACTGGACACACCTAGGGGCGCCAGAGGGCACACAAAAATCTTGAGCGTTTCTCAGCTTCTGATACTATAGCAGTCAGCAATACTGAGTCATTCAAATCTGAAGTGTGTAATTTGGGGATGTTAAAATATAATTAAGCCATTTATAGGTTGATTCCCCCTGAAAAGTGTAGCACTGTGACTTTAAGAGCTATCAAAACATTGCAGTGTATGCATGAGCATCACAACCAGCCTGACTTTGCAACATTGGTTCAACCAATATTGTGAGTTTGTGGTGGGGCAATCTGTTTATTTAGACCAATAATAGATGGGGAGTGTTGGGTAATCAAGTTTCAAAATTGTCGAAACAGTTTATAAATTCAGTTTGGTGATGCTAAAGGTATAAAAATTACTCACTTCAGCTTTAAATATAATTTAAAGGAACTAATTAATGTTTCAAATGAATGTGCTGTAAGTTTAATTCAACACATGATTGGATTTTAGAATTACTCCACATGATCTATACACATGAATGATGACTGACCACACGTTTGCTGTCATTGGCATGATGTTCATTGCAGTGATCAAGTAGATCGAGTTCATCCAGTCCATCATCCTGGCAGTACGGACAGGCAAAAGTCCTCACATTTAAACTGAAAAGAAATAAATCAGGAAAATAAGTACATGTCAAAGACTGTATTTTTGAGTGTTTTTAGCTAATCGTTTTGCGTTCCCAAAATAATCTGAAGAAAACTTTTTTCTTCACTATAAGAAACCTTTTGTGCAATTGAATGTTAAAGCTTCTTCATGGAACCATAGATGCCAATAAAGTACCTTTATTTTTAATAATGATCTGATTGATGATCTTTCTAAAATGATAAGCCAAAATAAATAAATACATGTAATTCTGAAATAACCCAATTTTAGGATTGTGTAAATGGTGCATTATGTCATGGGAATGTACACTAAATTTTGGACAAAAGTTTGTGGACAAGAAAAATCAGATAAAAGTGTTGTAAGCACCAACTTAGAAAGAGATGTAGTAGAATCCTTTCATTTTCATTTTCACTTTATGCACAGTAAGAGTTTTTCCAAGCGGTTTTCCAAGTACAGTGATCTAGAAGAGGGGTTTCTAGGGTAACGCAACGGGGGTAAATTATAGAAAGAAAAAAAAACAGTGTAAGAAATATACAAATAAATAAATAATAAACATGATTAAAATTAACATGTAGGCCTATATAGGTATTTGGATTGGATCTTTATATATGAAAATATATAGCTGATACATAGCTGCCTTTTCAATTTTATGGGAGTCCCTTACATAATGATACTATTTGGCCATCTGTGGCATCTAAAAGATCGAAAACCCCTGTCACTGTGTGTCGTAAGATTAAGAGTTGTTGAATTACTGGAATAACCAAACATGTTCATTAGAATGGGTTTTCCACATGCTGCTCACAGGCAGTGTAGCGTGTTTGATGTCCTCACCCTTGAGGTTGATTCATCTCCATTAGATTGATCTCCGTTTGCCATGGCCTTTGAATGAAACAAAATATGAGTTATCTAATCCATAGTGTCAATAAAATAGTTACTATCTTGATGGGACTTACCAGTCATCCAGCTCAGCCTGTAAATGTTCCTGGGACGGGGCGGGGTTTAGCAGCAGTGGAGCTGGGGCAGGTGGGACTTGAATAAAACCACTCGGAGCAGCATTAATGGGTGCAGGCTGTGGGGCAGCAATTAAATTTGCAGGTTGAGCTCGTGTCCGTGGCATAGGAACAGGCCGTGCAGAGGAAATTAAAGGGAAAGGCGCTTGATTTTGTGGGACGGGTGGCAGAGCAGCCTGATTGGGTGGACTGGCTTGAGCGGCAATGTCTGCCTGTTGTGCCAGTGAATGTCGAAGTTGGCCGAGGAGACTGTTGGTTTAAAAGAAATGATACATTTTTTAGCATTTGACAGAAAAAGGCACTAAATAATGACATTTGCCTGATACTTACTTGTGTATGTTTGTGCCAACAGGTCTTCTTGAATTAAATGTTTGAATATTCCCTGGCAGGATTTGGCGCAGATGCCTCCTCCTACCAGGAGGCTGAAACCAAATTATTCATTCATAAGCATGCAGTCCTTGACAACCTCCACTCACAGAGAAACTGATATTTATTGCACACTTTAGCAGGGTATTTACTTACTACCAATGGATTATTCGCAGAATCACGGTTGTTTACTGAGCTTCTGCAGTGTGGACAATGAAGCCTATATCGAAAAGATTGACTGAGGCATCGCTGGCAAATTCTGCAAGTACAGAGAGAGACAAATTGTCTAGATGAGACAGTAAAATAATCAACTACCAGCAACAAGAAGATGACAGATTGGCTGCAATGTCGGTCAACCCATCATGTGATGGAATTTCCCTTTAGAAATACTTTCGCTTTTTGCTGCCAGTAAATGTTCAGGTTATTTATCAGAAATGATATGTACTTGTGGACAAGGAGAGACTGCACATGTATATATAGTAGATGAAAACAAAACAAAAAAAGCAAATAACATAAACGTCCACCATAGAAGCTGTTTCCAACTACAAAAGCACTTTTTAGAGAAAATGTGATTTATTGAATGAGTTTGATTTATAATCGCTGATCAAATATATTTTACAAACATACATTTTAGGCATTACTGTATCAAATTGTAAACTATACATTAGCATATGTTAAATTATGCAAATACCTCACAGACCTACAAGTTTGATCCACAAATTTGTTTGTTTGTAAAGTGCCCACATGAAGTCACCAAAATCAACCATCTATGTCAAACATAACCCACACTTACACTTTTCCACAGCATGGAGATGGTTGAGAAGGATTCTGTATGTTTTCCCTGCATACAGGACACTCTTCCTCTGAAGCGGACATGTCTATACCATCTGCTGTCTACTCTGTCAAACTGGCAGTCTAGTCTCTTCTGATATCTTCACTCTCAGGTTGCACAGCTTAAATACAGCCCAACTTCCTTATGACCATAAAGAGGGAGTATATTCTGTTTGCTTCAGCTGCTGTCTTTTCATGATGGTAAATATAGAACCGGTTTAACCTGAAAGGTACTCATTTTGAAAAACAAATCTTGAGTGATGTGACTCTGGGACAGTGGCAGAAATGACCTCTATACTTAAAGATTGTTATGCAATTCTAAGTCTATCTAAAATGAATGAACATTTCTGTGTGAAAGCAACAGACTGAACTGATTAGGAGAAGTGAGCTTTATTGGCATATCAATATACTTGGATTATACATGCAATTTTAATTGTGCCATTTAATAGACGGTTTTATCCAATGTGATATCAATCAATCCCTCGTCTTAGAATAATAGTCATTTTGAATATTGACAGAACTGTAACTTTTGGTTTCATCTATATAATCGATTAAATATATAATCCATTAAATGTAACATCATCGTTAATATATGTTCACAGCATGCCTGTCTGTCAGTCTGTCTTTGGTATCGAAAGTAAAAAGTTATTTACGGGCACCAGGGCTTTTATTATGATAGACGCAGAGCTTTTATGTCATTGCGGAAGTAAAGTCACCTGACCGTCGCTAAGCTTCTCGGGCAAAATCGATCAGCAGGCAGCAGTAGATTTCAATATGTCTGCCGTCGGCTGTCAGTAAAGGAGGTGTTTGTTTTCAACTCAACAGCAGATCCTTTGAGCTCGGTGAAGAACAGTCGAGGCGGGCGCTCATGGCTCAGTGCGTGCAGTCAGTGCAGGAGTTCATCCAGGACTCGTTCGTGCCGATGGTGGCTGTCCTGTGCAGCGAGGATGCGGAGAGAGTGACCCGCAAAAACAACCTGAGTTTCCCCGAGCTGCTGCGGCCTTTCTGCCGCCTGACGTCCGAGGGTAAGAGGCCAGCTGAGACAGCCGCGGATCACTCATCCCAACTGATGATCACTAGACAAGACGGTTGTTAGACAGCTCCCTTACACATAAACACGGGCTGTGTCTCAAAACCTAGTGAGCTGTCTGCCTAGAGACATTAACCAAAACTGTCTAGGTGCCATTAAAACGTCCAGACGCGAAAATATCGTCTAGGTAGACAGTTCAGTATAGGTTTTAAGAGACATTCCCAAAAATACTTTCTAGCAAGCCAGCTTACTAAGATTTGAAGGACACTTAAAATGATGTCTAGGTAGGCAGCTCATTAGGTTTTCAGACACACGCCCAAAAATGCTCTTTAGACAGACTGCTCACTAGATTTTGAGTTACACGCCCAAAAGTGCTGTCTAAATGGGTAGTTTTGAGAGACATGCCCAAAAAAATCTGTTTAGGTTGACAGCTAACTAGGTCTTGAGAAACACGCCCCAAAATGCTGTTTCGATAAACACTAAACAGCTAACTGGATTTTTAGTCATGCAGTGCACCCTAAAATGTTGTCTAAATAGGCAGCTCACTAAGTTTTGAGAGACATGCCCAAAAATGCTAGTCTAGGTTGGCAGTTCTTTAGATTTATAGCGCCTATTCTTTGTCCAGTGAGGCCCCTGGGCAGACGTCTTTGTAGGACCCCCCAGCCACTGCTGACTGTAGTGGCAGACCTCTTTTTTTCCCCAAGCGACAAGGTCATGTTTTGGTTGCAAACATTAGTTTAAATATAGTTTTCTGGGCCCTTTTTGGACTGCATTCTGAGGGGCCCGGGGCCCTAGTGGTCAGCATATGCCATGTGAACCAAGTGGCTCGGGGTTCTAGTGGTCAGCAAATGGTGTATGCGTTAAGGAACATGGGGCCTTGTGTGCAGAGGGGCCCGGGCTTTAGCTGTCTCTTTGCGATTTATGCACTAGGGCTACTTCCTCAATAAGTTTTGGAGCCACAGAGCTTTTTAGACCCTTGACAGTGTAAGGCCCTCTGGCCTGTTTCATAACCCAGCTCTGATCTTCAGTGAAATGATAGGAAGGGTTTCAACCTAGATTCATCAGAATTTGATCTCTCTGTTTGTGAAATCTGATCTGGTTTCCGCTCACCTGACCATTTATTGACCAGAGCCTCAGACAGACACAGCACAGATCAGATGCCTCTATTGGTGAGGGTTAGATTACCACTGGACTGGCGGCGCTCGAGGCCTGTGCTGTTAATCACCAGCCTATATCTAGTAAAGGATATGGGATAATCCTAAAGAGGCAGGCAATCAGATCATCTGGCTCAATTTATGAAGACTGCCGTTGTTTACAGTGACACAGAAGTCAGTGAATGACCAAGATACACTTTCGATCAAAAGTCAGGGTGTTTATTAAAGGGCTTTTTTGTCTGTTTTTAAGATTTATTTACTTTTTGCCTTTATTATTCAGTCTTCAGTGTCACATGATCCTTCAGAAATCATTCTAACATGCAGATTTGGTGCCTAATTGACATTTCTTATTATGATCAGTGTTAAAAACAGTTGCCTAATATATTTGTGGAAACTGCTTAAAGGGGTCATATGATGCGATTTAAAATTTTCCTTTCTCTTTGGAGTGTTTGTTCTCATTAGAATGTTATATACACGACATTCCCAATCATAGTTATTAATGTTGTGCACTGCTGTTTGAGCTGCGTGCGCTGAGCTAAAGATGATCACCGGTAAACTGAAGCGCTCTTTTAACTTAACCAAACGCATTCTATATGAGATAAATCAGATATACATCAAATAAACACAATATTACAACGTACAATTGCACAAAAGGCTGCAAACGATTAGCGCGCATCTGAAGTGTCTCTGAAGGAAATAATGCATTATTTATCGGCTTTAAGATATCGGCCAAATTTTCTTATCAGGCCGATACCGATAACAGAAAAAATGAGCCGATATGGGCCGATACCGATATGGTGGCCGATATATCGTGCATCCCTAGTAAAAATCAATGCGTTTGTACAGTATGTGGAAAATAATGTGTGTTTTTTTACCTTAAACCGCATAAACACATTTCATTACGCCAAATACACAAAATAATGCTCTTTTTAGCAACATCATATGACCCCTTTAATATATTTGTGTAAACTTTTCCACTTTTTTTGCTGTCACTTTTGATCAATTTATTGTGTCTGCTGAATAAAAGTATTAATTTATAAACTTTAAAAACAAAATCGAACAGTAGTTTACATTAGACAACAGATGCCATTTTAATTGGTTCATTAAAAATGGCACTCACTCTTACAAGAAATATTCCTATTAGCCCAGGGTTTAGAAACAAATTAGTTGGTTTTACAAAAAATTATTAACTAATTATAAGCATTTAAAATGCTAACCGTGTTCCATTTTACTATGGAACAACTGAAATGGATTTTGTTCACTGTTTCCTATTTAATTTGTTTTCAGTTTTTGTTCCTTCATTTGCTGTAAATCCTTTTCTGAGCTGCATTCACAGACGGAAATCCCTCTATACCCCATTTGTCAACAACATTGGTCATTCAGGAATCATGCAATTGTGGGAAAACATGGCACATATTTTGTTGTTGCACAATAGACATAGCCTTCTCATATTATTTGTTGCAGTGTGTTATGGATTCGTAGAAATCCTGAAAACACAGTTAAGTTGACCCAAATGAAGAGAGTGCACTCTTTATGTGTGTGTGTGTTTGTCCCTCAGTGATGTGGTTGGATTTATTCAGGAATGCCTTGGCAGCAGAGGAGCAAAGTCTCATCTTTATTATTCATGTTGTGCTTATCATGTGAATTGTGGAGTGAAAACACACAGGTGCATTATGGGATTAAGTGTTTGGTAGAGGGGTGGCAACATGTTTGAGCTGGGCGTTCCTGCCATGCATATTGCAAGGGAAGGTTGGGTGAGGAGGTTTCAGATGGGGTCCAGAGGTGGTCAGGAAACCCAGCTGTGTTCGGATTTTCAAGTTGGAAGTCATAACAGATTGTAAAAGATAGAATTAATAAATCCTAAATACTCTGTTGGAGGGCTGTCCACAAGAGAACGGATTGCAAATAATGAATGAAAATAATTTGTATTGTGCTGATCTCATTAAATATCATTAAAAAAATAATTGGCAATATTAATAATCAAAACATTGTATTATATCTCAATTATAAAATCCCAAAGATTAAACATTTTAATAATGATTTATTAAAATAACACCATTTCTGTCAATGTCCATAAGAATTAACAAGTGGCAGAAATGGGGGAAAAAACTAATTTATTTTCCTTGTGATTGTGAGTCCTGTTCAAAAGTTTGGAGACAGTAAGATTCTTTTGGAAATAATTTGATACTTTTATTCAGCAAGGATGAATTCAATTAATAAAAAGTGACTAAATATATTTATAATGTCACATAATGCTTTTGTTTTGAACTTTATATTCATCAAAGAAAATGTAGAATGGTTTCTGCAGCACAGCTTTTTTCAACATTGATAATAATAATAATAATTTGAGCTGGGCGTTCCTGCCATGCATATTGCAAGGGAAGGTTGGGTGAGGAGGTTTCAGATGGGGTCCAGAGGTGGTCAGGAAACCCAGCTGTGTTCGGATTTTCAAGTTGGAAGTCATAACAGATTGTAAAAGATAGAATTAATAAATCCTAAATACTCTGTTGGAGGGCTGTCCACAAGAGAACGGATTGCAAATAATTAATGAAAATAATTTGTATTGTGCTGATCTCATTAAATATCATTAAAAAAATAATTGGCAATATTAATAATCAAAACATTGTATTATATCTCAATTATAAAATCCCAAAGATTAAACATTTTAATAATGATTTATTAAAATAACACAATTTCTGTCAATGTCCATAAGAATTAACAAGTGGCAGAAATGGGGGAAAAAACTAATTTATTTTCCTTGTGATTGTGAGTCCTGTTCAAAAGTTTGGAGACCGTAAGATTCTTTTGGAAATAATTTGATACTTTTATTCAGCAAGGATGAATTCAATTAATAAAAAGTGACTAAATATATTTATAATGTCACATAATGCTTTTCTTTTGAACTTTATATTCATCAAAGAAAATGTAGAATGGTTTCTGCAGCACAGCTTTTTTCAACATTGATAATAATAATAATAATAAAAAAAAACGGATCTAAAAACTTTTATGATGATTTCTGAAGGATCATGTGACACTGAAGACTGGATTAATGATGCTGAAAATTCAGCTTTGCCATTACAGGAATAAATTATATTTTACAATATATTAATAGAAAACGTTTACTTGAAATTGGAATAATATTTCAAAATATTTATATTTGTACTGAATTTTTTGATCAAATAAATGCAGCCTTAATGAGCATAAGAGACTTCTTTCAAAAACATTTTACAAAATCTTGCAGACCTCAAACTTTTGCTCAGTTCCTTTGTTTAAAGAAATGATATTAATACACATTTTTTGATAAAGGACTTGTGGTCCAGGTGGAACCAGCCTTGGGTTCTGGACCCTTTAAGTCGCTTAGGAAAAGAGAAGAATTAGCATCACTATTACGAATTTGACACCAGCCAGTTCAACCTGCTAATTTTCCTCTTCTTTTTTTGGCCGTACTGTAGGTCACCTGCGTGATCCCAATAACCAGGTGGTTGTGGTGAAGGGCCTCCGGATCAGCGTGACTGGGATCAACACACGGCCTCCACAGAGCCCAGAGCTGCACAGACTCCTCAGCCAGGCGGTTTCTGTCTGCCAGCCACCTGAAGGGTCGCCCGCCAACGTTATCACGGCTGGAGACTACGACCTCAACATCAGCGGTAAGTGCTTGCAGAGAGTTTTCTGCTCACTTCAACTTCATATGGGGAAATCCGTAGAGGACCTGATTATGTTACTGCCACATTTTCAAAGTAGGAAAGTGGAAATGGCCTGAAGTGAACAGAAACAGGAACTGAGAGATTGTTTGCTAATGCAGCATACGTTTATGTAGCCCTTGCTACTGTTAGTGAACATTATCCAGTAGCCTGCATGTTTTGTCTATGGATTTACATGTAAGTTACCAATGAATTGGGTGGGCAATATAAGCAATCACAATATTCTTCATTCTGGTTTATAGCAATATGTATATCACAATATACACATTTTGCATAGAACATGAAGTACTGAAAAAGAATCGTCCTAATTTCCAAAGTAATGGCAGACCTTTAGAAAATGTGATTGGATTTTATACTATTTATAGAAATCTTGTAGTATTTAAAGTAATAAATACTGCAGTTAAACACAAATACTATGCTGTTTTATCTTTTTTTTAAATGCAAAATACTGTTTTGTCTGTGTTAAAAAAAAATATGATAATAATTATAGATTCTGCAGGGGGTATGTAAACATCTTCGAAAAGGAAAAAGTGTCGTGTAGCTTCTTCTGGACAGAAAAAGGGTTTGATCTCTCTAAAAAAGATAATAATAATCATAGATTCTGCAGGGGGTGTGTGAACATTTTAGAAAAGGAATATGAAAATTTACAAAAATGTTATGATCTCTCTCAAAAAAAAAAAAAAAGATAATTATAGGTTCTGCAGGGGTTATGTAAACATTTTAGAAAATGAATATACAAATTATGACTACACTCGTAATTAGGCATGGGCCGATTACCGGTTTCAAGGTATACCGCGATTTGAAAATTCCACGCTAATATTTCCCGTTATACCGTTCCTGCGGTATGCGCTGTTTTTCATGTCTCCTCAAAGACTGAAAGTGTAGGAATCCCTCAGGTTGAGTGCAGTGTAGAGAGTAGCACGACCCTCCTCCTCCTGTTGGTGCGAGCGAGCGGTCAGTCACGTGTGTGTAGGATGGCTGAAGGAGCTTCCTCTGGAACTTACGCGATCGGCAACCGGCCCTTTATTGTTTTATTGCAGCCGATCTCTGTTGCACAAACTTGCACAAACTGCGTTGCAATGCATATCATTTTCCAAATGTCGTTTATGTGAAAATATGAAGTCTGTAAATGCCCGTTAACATAGGCCAGAGACGTTGAAGACGGACACAGAGAAAAATACTGTAGCAGGCAGATAACTCACTGTTCATGATGCATGAACTATTGGAAGAAAATCCTCAATATTGATTTGGGGGTTTATATGAATGTGTTTCTGAGGCGAACTGGCCGTCTTCAGAAACGTTTAGATGGTATTTTCTTTTCATCTCGTATAATTCACATTAAAGCAGTGTTTCAGCGCAGCTCTGCTTCGTTTACTGCAATAACCAAGGAAACACTGTATCAGCGTCTTCTGCTGACAGAGGGTGAATCTGCGTCCCATTCAGAGCTTCTGCTGTTTGCTTCGTTCAGGCATGTAGTATAATTGCACAAAGTTGGTCAGAACATTCGGTTTTTGCTTCAAATTGGGTTATTATTAAATCAAATTATGTATATGAAATTATATAAATAAATGATATGTATATGAATTATATAACTAAAATTCAATAACTGTAATTACAGATTTAGGTTAAATAAAGATGTCAGTCTTTATTTTTCTTCTTTTTAGGGCAGCAGTAGCTCTAGCAGCAAATCAATCATCCACATCAAAAGCTGCAGGACAGCCCACATTTCAGAAACAAATCAAAGAAAAAATAAACAAATACTACTGTTCCAAATATTCTGTAAGTTGCTCAAAATATATTGTTGAGTTTTTTTTTTTTAACCAGACATTTCAAATTAACACATTTTAGAGCTGCAACGACAATACCGTGATACCGTGATATCTTTGCTTAAGGTTATCATACCGTCAAAATCTCATACCGGCCCATGCCTACTCGTAATATAAATTACTTTCTCTTTTTTTTTTTAAATGAGACCCATTTCATAGTAGTCTCTCATATCAGCACCTGATGAGGGCAGCAGAGCCCTTGAGGGGAAAAGTGAGAATCAAATGTTGTAATTGTCCATGAAATTAAAGGGTTTGGTTTGCATTGCACATCTATTATTTATCGTTTCTGATCTTTTTTTTTTTTCTTCTTTTTTTTTTAAAATTTTCTAATTTTCTTCACCCATTCTCCAAATTCTCCTGTGGATGAATCCTTGGTAAGAGCTCTGACCTTCATGCACACGCTTTCCTTGTGTGTGTGTGTGTGTGTGTCAGGTCACACACACGTGTGCTATGCTGTGTTGTTAACCCTTTGAGTAATGGGCGTGAAGTGTTCCCCTCTCAGATCATAGGTTTCCAGTAGAGCCCGTCCCCCACGTGGTCCCTTTGCTTCACCCTTCACTTGGGTGAGCCTAACAACAAACCCCTGAAGCTTAGACACTAACACACCAGTCTACACCAGCAAGCATCCTCCTTTTAACTGAATGAACTAATTGTATTGCACCCGAATATGAGAACAGAGTCAAGATGCAGCATACATCAGCGTTAGCATACTTGTATATGTGAATTTCACGGTTGGTTGGTTTGACTACAAAGCTGACGTCTCATAAACTGCTCTAAATTCAACATGAAATCAAAACTGATCCTATGTACTTAAATGCATTATACATATTCCTGGTCTTATTGTATCAATTATTTTTGTGTATATATATATACTATTATAATATATTATTTATATTATAAGTAAATTAATTATAATAATGTTAAATAATTATAATAATGATTTAACTATTATATTTAATTTTATAATTTGAGTAAGCTTTATTATTATAGCTTTTTATTTTTACTTTTCGTTTTAATTTCAAGTTTTAGTAATTTTTCCGATTCAGTTTTAATAATTGTATTACTTTTATTTTAAACTTATTTCAGTTAGTAGCCAAGGCAAAATTGCACATTTTCGTTTTTCAAATTTAAGGTTTATATTTTTCATGTAATATTCATATTTTATTTTACATCAGCTTTGTTTCAAATAACAAAATGCTATTTTAATGAACTTTTAAATAGTTTTAGTTAACGATATTAACACTGTATTGCACATCATTTAACAGTGCACATCATTCCAAATATAATAAAGATAACGTTTTCCAGTTCTGAAACTACTTTTCTTTCTAGCGATGTCATCTAGGACTGGTGGGCGGATCAATTAAGGTTAACCAATAGCCAAGTAGCTATTAGGCATTGCTTTAGGCTCCATAAAGCATCCTCTCTGAAATTGTACAGATTTACATGCAAAATAAACAAATGTAACAAAAATAATCATAGATTTGGGGATAGATTTAATGATAGATTTTTTTTTACCCTTTTCAATGTGTCAAACTTGTTTTGACCATGAACTTGACCTTTAGGCTCCCGATCTAAACCATTATTCCAGTTCCTTGCGGGCAGAGACTTAAATAAAGCCTGATTCCTCAAACTAAATTATCATCCCATCCACAATCTGCAAACTCACTTTTGGGGTTGTGATTGCTTTTCACAATCCAATACATTCTCAATAAAAATAAATAAATAATGGCATTGTGCTCTAAATGTTTTATACAGCATCCTGTTTCCCTCAGAAATGTCACATTATGGAAGGAGAATGGGTTGTGAATGGTTTTTCATGTTGATTTTAAAGCATTGGTTTGCTGTGTGTGTGCTCTACTCACCCTGACCCATAGACTTCTCCAGAAACATCCAACTCCATTACTTTTTACTTCTGCTTCTGCTAGAGCTGGTACCAGTAGTTTGTGTTTTATGTCTGTCTCAAGGAGAAAGTATGTTACAATTTGTTCATTGTATGTCATTTTTGAGTTTACTTCATTATCCTACATTTAATAGATTGCCTTTTCTCACAGCGGGAGGCGCCAATGGAACATACCCATGTTTAAGCTAATCAGGAAAATGGGATTGTAGAACAATGCTCATTTGCTTTCTGGATCTGCAGTACGAGCTTAGTTTAGCACTTTGCAGAAGTTCACTTCTGCAAAAGGAATAGTTCTCAGAAAATGAATATTAAAGAAATACTTCACCCTAGAATCTAATAGTCCAGCTATTTCATCTTGTGAAATAGTTCACAAGATGAAAATTTGCTGAAAGGCGCCAATGGAACACACCCATGTTTAAGCTAATCAGGAAAATGGGATTGTAGAACAATGCTCATTTGCTTTCTGGATCTGCAGTACGAGCTTAGTTTAGCACTTTGCAGAAGTTCACTTCTGCAAAAGGAATAGTTCTCAGAAAATGAATATTAAAGAAATACTTCACCCTAGAATCTAATAGTCCAGCTATTTCATCTTGTGAAATAGTTCACAAGATGAAAATTTGCTGAAAATCTACTCGCCTTCAGGCCATTCAATATGTAGTTGGGTTTGTTTCTTCATCGGAACAGATTTGGAGAAATGTAGCATTACATCACTTGCTCATCAATGGATCCTCAGTGAATGGGTGCCGTCAGAATGAGAGTCCAAACAGCTGATAAAAAACATCTCAATAACCCACAAATAATCCACACAACTCCGAACTGTCAGTTATCTTGTGAATGGAATAAAACACCTCAAACCATTGCTTGCAGCTAAATGAGTCTTATATGCATTTTAATGCTTTCTTCAGTGAAAAAGTTGTCTTGTCTGAATCAGGAGAGAAATATGCCCAGATCAAGGAGCGTTTACAACCAAAAACCATCCAGAACAGTTATAGTATGTTGGTGGATTTTGTTGAGCGGACAACAGGGGATGGACTTTTTCACTGGAGGAAGTGTTATAATGGATTTCAGACTTGTATGTTGGTGACAGTTTAAAGTTGAAGCGTCTTTTTG